TCACACTTCAGTAAGTTTGTTCTAGTAAAACGTCATGTAAATGTAAACACATGAGATTCACAGTTCAGCCGCATCATCAGCCATCAGAGGAGACGTTGACGTCTCATTCAGGCGTTGAAGCAATAAACTTTGGAGTTTACTACGAACACATGCAGAGTTTTGGGGAAATTATAGTCAATCATAGATAAGAGTTATGGATTCAACACTTTTGAATGACAAACTAAACTTTTCACGGACTGTGATGCTGTGAGACCAGCAGTGTGTTGTCCAGGGGGGGCAGTTTTACAAATGATTGAGCTGCTGGACTTTAACTAGGCCATCATAACACATGAATATGCTTTGATCTAATTCTGGCTGGTTGTGTTTTCAGTCTCAACTCAGATTTTCAAATCAACTCATAGGGTTTGTTTTTTCTTTCTGAAGACATTTTTGCTCTAAATTTCTTCACAACTCTCCCTTACTTGGTATTGATAATGCTTTCTTCACCTTCACGGATTAATTACAGATTAAATTACACAATGCATTCTTTCTTACTAGTTTTTTGAAAAAGGTTGGATCCAAAAGCAGATTTTTATTTGCTAAAAACAATTCAAACCATGTATAATTTCCCTTCTCCTTCACATTTATGCACTACTTTGTGTTGCTCTGTCACATAAAATCCCATTTAAATAAGTGGAAGTTTGTGTTTGCATAGCGACAAAATGCAAAAAAATACTTTAACAGTGCCCCCAGAAAGCATTCGTAAAGTATTTACAGGTCTGTCGTGATAAAGATGCTTCCCATTAATGAGGTGCTAAGTCCCATTTATTATTCCTAACAAATCCTGATGGCCTTTCACAGTTTGCATCATCGGATAAATCGCAAAATTTGAATTAGGCCTCTTCGCATAACAAGTCTCTCAGTCCTGTTAAGTGAGCCAGGACCAGTTTGGCCTGAGCCTCACATTTAGAGGTGTGAATGTGACACGACAGTGAATTGTACTCATCCCTGATTTTTTTCTTTTCTCACCAACACTCCCCCTCCTCCATTAAAACAAAAAAAGACCAACACACACAGGCAGACTCCCCATCCCCCGCCCTTTCTTCCCTTTCCCCTCCCCTGCCAACACAAGTCTGTGATGTGACAGTCTTAGATAAAAAAAAAGGCGAGAATTTTATTGCAGCAGTCTGTGAGGCTGGCACCAGACCTCCATTGTGACCCGCCGCCACAGGTTCCCTAGTGTTGGGCGCCCTCTGCTGACCGCGTTCTCTCGGGTTCCTGCACTTCAAAGTGGGAGATCAAGGGCCGACTTGCGCATGACATCCAGAGAATGACAATACCACAGCCAGCCTACGACTGCTGCAAGGTGCTTGCTGCAGAGACACAAAGGCATGCAGGCAGCTCCCGCACTGGTCCGCCTCATGGAGGAGCAGGAGGCGGGGGGGTTAAAATACAGGAAGGAGGCAGTGCAGCGACTGTGGTGGGCAGAGGCTACATGAGGTTAAGTGGAAGGACAGCAGAGGAGACAGGCTGGCAACAGATTGTCTGAGGTGTCCTGTTTGATTACTGAAGCATTAATTGATAAGATTCATCACTTATCTTTAAAGATGAGCTATTACGCTTCTTTGAACTGGCTAGGATTGATCTGTGGTCAAAACGAAACACGTCTGTAACATTTCTTTTGCACAAAATAATTTTTAGATAATGAGATTTTAGTCTGGTCAGTTCTGCTTATTTTGTTTTAGGGAGTCTTCTCAATCTAAATCCAAATAAGCAGCTGCTGGCCACGGCCAAACAAATAAACATTTACACTCGCATGTGAAAATGGCTGCAAATAAATGCACAGTTATGAAACTGTACATCTTTAAAAAGCAGAAGTGGAGCCTTCTGTACAACCAACAAAAATGCAGGAAGTGTTTTCTGGATGGCAAGTCAACATCAAAACACTTGTCTTGTCCAGTAGCCATTGTACACCAGATATAGGTGAAATAATCTTCCTGTGGAGCTTGTACTTTATTGAAATTAAGTTATTATTTACCTTAAAAAAAAAGCTCCAATATTTTGTTGAAAAGTTACTTGTAAGTTAGTTTTGTCTTATTTAAAGTGTGCTCATATATTTACACTAGAAATAAGATCAAAGGTAATATTTTGCGCTTTTGCAGTGTATGTGTTCTTGGCTGTATCTTTTAAAAAAGCCAGATTCATTCTGCTATTTCTAGTTTACATCAAAAATGCATGTTTTATTTTATTTTAAGAGTGTGGGATCTGTTTTTTAGGGTGCAGGGGAGGATCATCTTGTGCTTTCCAGAGTATAAGTCGCATCAGTCAAAAAATGCAACGTGACGAGAAACATGAAACTGGACTACAAGTCACATTGTAAGTTAGCTTTGTCTTATTTAAAGTGCATTAATGTATTTCCACTAGAAACTGGACCAGAAATAGTTGGTAGGCTTTGTGGTTTTTCAAGGCAGCCCGAGAAGCTAGAGTGAGGGGGCGTCTTGTGATCAGGCTGTCATTTCCTCCTCAACTCTGTTTAGAAAGAATGAGAAGGAGCCAAGTGGCCCTAACAGGGACAGTAGGTGGGCTCCTCATGAGGATCTGGTGAGGAGGTCGGGTTGTGCCCCCGGCAGGCTGAGACGCAGAGAAAAACAAACACGGGGATGAAACAAGACGGCGAAATCCTGTCCCTGGTGGCGAATACACTTCACAGCAAACCAGAGGTGATTTACGGTACAGTAAAGAAAACAATCTAAATGATGACAAATCTGTCTGGTGCAGACTTATGATGGCAGCGTGACTACAGATCTTGAAAGAAAGAGGAAATGAGAGTATTTAAAATTGAAACTCCTTTCGCCACACTACAACCAAAAACTTCTGTGTTTTATTGATGTTTTAAATGACAGACCAAAACACGCGACACATAGTTGTTAAGTGGAAAGAGAATGAAACATTGTTTTCTACAGAAAATAACCTGAAAAGTGTGCCGTGCATTTCTGCAGACGCCCATTTTTATTGATACTCCCATAAAAATCATCTTGAACTTTTGATCAAAATGTATCCAGATGTTATAAAGGCCTAGTCAAAGTCCAGACTTAACTAAATTTAATAGCTAGTAGAAGGAACTGAACATTTCCACGAGTTATGTTGTAAACATTTCAGTTAAGATGCTTCAGCAAAAGACAGATTAACCAAATGTTGACTCAGAGAGGCTACATATAAATGCACAACACACTTTGTAGATTTTTAATTTGTAAAATGTTTTGAAAAGTTGGCTTCTACTTCACAATTGTGGTGTTTTCAGTTAGTACATCACATAAAATCTCATAAAAAAATAGAAGTTAGAGAGAAATGTGACAAAGTTCAAGGTTTTTGGATGTTAGTCATATACGGTAGCTGCTGTAATAAAGATAAAAGTTATCTAATAAGTTACCTCTCTCAACCCAGAGGGCATAATAACCTGAAAATAAAACTATCAGCATAGAAACAATCAAAATTCAGAGATGAAATCAGCTCAACAAATTAAACTTCTGATAGAAATTCAAAAGGTTTCGTTTTAGATTATCATCTGTTTGCACTGATGTTCTCATATTGTATGAAAAAGAAAATACAAAGTTTCTGTGAATTAATTCCTCATAAAATTAATGTGTTTTTCCACGAAATACAAAAACATCAAAGGCAATTATTTGTAGTCCCATTGATCTTCCCATCTAACCTCCACTGACAGGTCAAACCCACAGAAACTCTGAAGGAGCTGCAAAGAACCACATATTTTAAAGAGTTTAAGTTTAAAATTGAGTTGTTTGAAACTGCAGAATCAAACTTTAAGGTTGTAGCGTGACTAAATGACTAAATGTTTCATGCAGTAGGAAACATTTTTTACAGCACTAACTTACACAGAAAGTCTTAGAACAAATATCAAGGCGTTGGTTATGAAAAAAAACAAATCTAAACAATTTTAAAGAAATAAAGCTAAAATGCATTCTTTCATGATGGCATGTGACATTTTATTGACCAAAATGTAGCATCTACATTTTGGTCAATACTGGACTTCAGCTACAAAACAATTTTCAAATTAGGACTAAAATTAAAATATGTTTCAGTCAGAACTATGACTAAAGAAAATTAAAATGTAGAGTTAAAATTAGTTTAAAAAAATTTGCTGAACATTTATTGATATAACTGAAGAATAAAATAAAGTAAATTATGTCATTTACTCTTTATACCCACGTATCCTACAAGATGTCTAGTTATCATAAAAATTTCATAATTAAATGTATTTATAATTATTTTCATGTGTGTTGTGCATGTATAAATGTTTACATTTCATATAAATTCCCTATGATAAAATTACAAACAATAGATTCAATGTTTATTTAAACTATTTCCAAGTCCCAGGGTTGAAGCGGACTATTTCAAGCTGTCACTGTGATTCTTCAAACCCCAACATTTGATCAGTTGACCGCTGCAAAAGGTTCACTTCAGATCAATTAAATTGATCAAAGCAGTTTAAGCCCCACCTTTAACTTCTATAGGTAAGGCTGCCAGCAACACAGAACAGTTTAATAATAAATAAATGCTACTAACACGTGTCCTATGGATGGTAAAATGTAAAACCTTTTGATGATCAAAGCCGACATAATTAAAATAAAAGCAGAAATATATGTATTTTGTGTTTCCTTTTCCATATCCATGTGTTTTCATGAAAAATGCATGTATTTTTTATTTTCCTTACAAATGTGTTTTCATCAACATATATAAACTTCTTATTTCCTTTTTCCTTTATACATGCGTTTTTATACATGAACTGTAGTTTGTGTATGTAATTATTAAATAGCCTAAATAATTTTTTCCTCCCAGTTTTGAACATTTGCGTTTTGAACCGCCATATTTATTTGCCTGCATTTATCCTTAAAACTGTCCATTCATTTAAAAGTAGGTCAAGGAGCGCCCTCTAGTGTTTAACTGAGCTCTCCCACATGATCAAATTAAAGTGACGTGAATATTTTTGTCACATAACACCACAGGCCCGCGCAGGACACACGCACACACACGCACACACACACACACACACACCTTCCCGGTGTTTAATATTAGATGTGCGTGACCCATCCACGCAGGTCGCTGGTTGAAGAACAGCGAAACCCGGCCGGAGGGTCGAGTTCAGAGTTCAGGCTCAGCAACCAGAGAAATGGTGGTCTCGGTGAAGAACGACACCCGGCTGACCAGTACCCAGAGCTTCCTCTGCTCTGGTTTCGCTGGTTTCTTCAGCAAAACCGTCACGTCTCCTCTGGAAGTTGTGAAGATTAAACGTCAGGTGGGAACTTTTCACGGCAAAGGCGGATTCCTGCAAACTTTTATCGTCATCTACCAGAATGAAGGACTTCGAGGGTTTTGGAAAGGGAATATGGTCTCCTGTCTCCGGCTGTTTCCATATACAGCAGTTCACCTCACCACATACAAGAAGTAAGTTTAGCAGGGAAATATGTAACCATGGGATTAAGTATCGTAAATTACACCTTATTTCATAACTGCTTGTGTAATTATTAATTTATTACTTCACTTTTAGCACACGCTGACTTTGCAAATTGGCGCTATTGTCAATATGGATGAAGCATTTTAACTCGTGTGATGTCTTAAAATTAAAAAAAGGCTGTTTTGTTATTGTTTTGTCGTTTATTTTACATATGCGGAAATACTTCCTGTTTTGACCGTGCGAGACGCAGCCTCTTGTTTCCAGCCAATCAGAAGGCTCCATTTGCTCAGTCGATTTTTAAACAGCAAGTTGTTTCGTTTGCCCGATGTTTTGTCTGGCAGGTTATGAGAGGTTTAATCGGTATTTTATATAAAATATATTCACCAGAAGCAGAAATACAGTACATATATATATATATATATATATATATATATATATATATATATATATATATATAAAATATTTTTGCCAGTGAACTTCACCAGCTTCTACGAATTGAATAAAGTTAATGCAGTGAGTTTAACAAATCGTTTACGTTAGGACTCAAACTTTCATCAGGAATACGTAGATTAATAAGCTAACTATTACACAACTTGTAAATTATCTGTTGAAAAAAGTAACATAAGTTAAAAATAATGGTTGAAACTGTTCAATGGTGAAGTAAAATCTATATTACTACCATAAAATATTTGAAATCGATTAGAAATTGTCATTCTATAGATACACAATTTAAAAAAGAATAGTTTAATATGTTTAAATTTTATTATTAATTTGTTACATTTTATGTTGAAAATGTTCTTTCTTACTTAAATTGCATAATTAAATACTGTGAAATTAGTGTTTTTCTGCAACATGAACAGGAGCTAATTATTATTACTGTGATTTTCTAAACATTTTACAAAATAAATATTAATCACAAAATTATTCAGCTGCAATAAAGAAACGATGTTTCATGTTTAAATAGTTTATGGTTTCTAAAACCTGCTAAAAGGGGAATTCCTGCCTGTGAGACTGAACTGAGGGCAAACAGATTGAAATCACATGTGCTGGGTTACCAGAGGGCAAAACAAACTGCTGATCTCTGACAGCATGGATACAGGGGGAAAAAAGCATTAAGCTGAGCAGTAATCCAGCAAGGAGCAATAAATCCGGCTGGTCATGCTTTATAACACGTGTTTTTGGAATTCCTGGTTTTATAAACATAAGTCATTCACTGCTCACCTTTTCCTGTCCAGAAGATACAACAGCAACTGTTCAGCACTCAAAAGAAACCCTTCCTCTTTTAGCTCGTTTTTTTTTTTTTTTTTTTTTTTTTTTTTTTTTTTTTTTAACTTAAATCATATTTCCTGCTGAAGGTTTCAGGTTATCAGCTTGAAAAGTAAAATACTGAGCATAAACGTCCACAGAATTCATTTTGTTTTACATTTAAGCAGTTGTAGTTTTTGCACCAATATAGAAAGTGTTTAATATATTAAACAAGAGCCACAACACGTCGTAGACAAATAAATAAGAGATTTTAAAACTGTTATTGATTTATTTTAATAATCAATCATGCCATCGGTTTTTCTGAGAATTAATTGATTCTTCAAACAAAAGAACTGGAACATTTTACAACATTTTAACTAAAACACTTAAGCCTTTTTCATATAGCATTGGAAATGTATTAAAAGATACAAATAAACAGATAACATTTTTTTTTGAATAAGACGTAAACATTACCAAAATACAATAAAATAAATGTGACGCAAAAACTGCCACTTGAGGAGTTTTGAGTAAAACATATTTACAGACAAAGGTGTTTTATAATTTTTTATTTATTCAGGAACAATCTGTTGAGACTTATTGTCTCTTTTACAAGAGATATATGTTACATACATCACAAAAAGACAAATGCAAATGAATAAAAAGTGCAAAATGTAATATTTTTTAACAGTTTTTGTTTAACTACTGCGCTGAATAAATTGCTTTTTCAGCAAATTACCATTTTTGAGTCTCCATACTCCAGTTAATCGAATTACTAGATTATTTCAAAGATGATTCATCACTGCTCATTACTGACTCTTGTTTGTGTGCAGGATCGTCCACCTTCACATGGATGAGCTGGGCTTTATCTCCCAGTGGAGAGCCATAGTAGCCGGCGGACTGGCTGGCGTCGCTGCCGCCCTGCTCACGTATCCTCTGGAGGTGGCGGAGACCCGACTGATCGTCCAGAACTGCAGACAGCGGACCTACATCGGTGTAGCTCACACCATCTCAAAGATCTACAGGAACGAAGGCCTGCCTGCTCTCTACAGAGGATTCTCCCTCACCGTTCTGGGTACGCACGCATTTATTCAACACATGCGTCTGATAGCGATTCTGAATCATTTCCTACTTCCTCCATCTTCTCCGCCTGCAGGTGCGGTTCCCTTTTCAGTCGGATGCTATGCGGTTTACATGAATTTGGACAAGCTGTGGCAGGAGCCATCGTTTCGTTTCACTCCTCTGCAGAACTTCATTAACGGCTGCATTGCGGCGGGAGTGGCTCAAACGCTCTCATACCCCTTTGAAACTGTTAAACGGAAAATGCAGGTGGGTAATGAGCAGCTAAACTAATTTAATTTTGTGTATTTTTCCTCCATTTTGTGTTATTTTTATACATTTGTTCATAAACAATATAAATGACAAATTCGCAAAATGAACCCTGCCAACAGGATTAATAGTTTCTAAGAAAACTGTGTCTTCAATGGGTTAAAGAAAAAAAGTTGCATAAATTCACACATAAAAGAGGAACAGAAATTCTTCATTTGAAGCAAAAGTTGTTGCCACAAAGTTTTATAAATTACCTTGTTTCTCTTCATGCTGTTTTTCTTTGTTTAATTACATACAATTTTCAACTAAATCAAAAAATATTCAAAAGAAAAGTGTGACTTTTGTTAAATCTGAAATAAGTAAGAGATTCACTTAAACATTTGTTAGTTTATCACGTTATTTCACTCTTTGTTGTTTTGTTTTGTTTACATTTATAGTAGAAGGATACCAACAAATTTATCCATTTCTTTTTTTATTCTTGCTCTAAAATCCTCTGAAAATGTCTGACTGCTCTAAAGCAAGAAGGCAATACACTTTTTTAAAAAAATGTTTATTTACTGGATATAATATATGCCATCCTACAAACCGGATAAATGGTGATCCGGTTTGAACAATGTAACTAACATTTTAGGCTTAATTTAAAAGTGCGTTCAGCTGCACAGAAAAATACATAGTTAGATTAGATCATCTATCCTGCTCCAACTTGTTGCACAAGATCCTGAGAAGAGGCTTTCCTGCCATAGTTTCACCAGAAGGGGGCAGTAATGACGTGTCCAACTTATTCACTGACCGTAACGCCTTAGAGAGGCCACAGAGGATCTTTACCAGACAGAAAAATAAATATCTGTTTAAAAACATGCCTATAACAGAAGTATTAGTAAAGGTATATTATGTGGAATTGGTTCTGCGTGTTTAATCATCTTTAATTTGCATTTCTGACCTTTCTGGGTTTATTAGGAAGGACACACAGGGAACAATGGTTCTGCAAAGGACTGGGCATTTCATCCGGGTTTCGTCTGCCTATTATTGGCTGCCACAAGGTTTAACAGCAGCTGGGAATGTGAATGTGCCCCAGGTCCATCAGGCTATAGATAAGTTCTCTAAAGATAGACTGTCGGATAGCAGCAGCTCTGAGGACTGTGCATTCCCAGATAATACAACCTATGGCACTTTATTATACCATTTTTATTGAAATGCTTCCATTTAATGAGAATTGTACGGTTAAAAGTTAACCCACTGAGAAAAGATTAAAAAGATGCTTCCAGATGGACAGGGTAATGATTTAAGATGAGCGCTGTACAGTTTAACTTTGTCTTCTTGACGAGTTTAAGTGTCAGCTGCTAATTTCAAGACGCCCACATGTGACCTCAGCAGCCGTAACGCATGATGGCCGCTGGCTGGATGTACGACAGAACCTACGTGAACTCAGAGACGCTGAGGGTGCTAATGGCGGCTCAGGAGGTTAAATATCTGGGAGTCCAGCAAAGTCAGAGGGGAGAAAGTCTGTTGAAGGTGAAATGACGTCTGCAGCATAGAAAAGGCGATAGTGGAGCTTTCTCTGGAGAGTTTTTAAACTTTTTCTCCTTACAAATTTGCTCTAGAGGTTTAAAACTTTAAAGGATACATTTGAGGTTCAGTCTGTGGTTAATCAAACAGAAAACAACTAAAGTTTTGTGGCAACAATTTTTCAGCTAAATAAAAGTAACTGTAGCCTTTTTAAAATTAAATTTTAATTTTGACTTTTTGTTTTCCTGGGGTATAAACACATGAGCCTGTTTCTCTTAGTTACTCCTTCAGAACAGGAACTGAAGGAAAACAGGCTTTGAACAAAGTGACCCAAACCCTGAGAGACAAAAATTCATTAAAGAAAAAAAATCTACTCAGCCACAATAATTAAAATGTTTAAGATACCTGAAAATGTATAAAAAATAAGACTAGATCTGGGGATAATTTTCTTAAATCATCATGCACAGTAAAGTGGAAAACAAAAAATGAATACAGCACCACAAGGCTCTGTACTTGGCCCACTTCTTTTTAGGTTATGTATGTGTGATTAACCTGATTCAGGTTTCCAGGTTTATGCTAATTACAATGGAAAAGGTAGAAAGAGCATCCTAAATAAATACTTAAGTATAAGTTGTTTCACTTCAACGTATTATTTATTTAAGTAAAAGCAAACAGGAAATAACTCAACTAAGAGTAAAAAAAATTGTAGAAAGCTACTTCATTACAGAGTAACTGAATAAAACATCTGATTAAATATTTTACAATAATGTTATTAGACAAACAAAAATAAAAAGCTGTAGAAACCTTTCTATGTAAAAAACTAAAATCAATACATACAATTATGAATACAAAAAAACAAAACTTTTCCAACCAATACACTTTGGGGAATGTCCTGTATGTTCAATCTAAAATGTTTTTGCAACATATCCTGTTCATAAAATTCCACTTTGAGGTGTAAAGACACATATAAACTGCAGAAATAAATATGTTTTCTACATATTCTTCCAAACATGTTTACATTTCACACTTGAAAATGACAACAGAGATGTTTAAAAAACAATCTTGACGTTTTAACTTTTTGGAATGTTACATTTTTCTGCTGACTCACTCATTTTTTTTAATTTCTTTTTCATTATTTTCCCAGGCACAGAGTTCTCGTCTTCCCCATTTTGGTGGCGTTGATGTCCACTTCAGTGGAACGATGGACTGCTTCATGCAGGTTATTAGAAACAAAGGCGTTCTGTCACTGTGGAACGGACTAACGGCCAACATGATAAAGGTGCCTCCATGCTTGATTGTGTCATAGATTCATTTGCTTAGAAAACTGATTTCTGTGTAACAAATAGCTCCCATGTGCCAAAGGAAAGATTTGTAACGCGTGATCTATGCAAAGGCAGGAGTGACGCAGAGTGTCCACTGCAGGAGAACAAGGTGGAACAGCATGCTCCAGTCTCCAATTTCAGCTGCAAATATCATCAGAGCTGAACATTGTTTCACACATGATGATCTAATTTAAAACAAGACCACTTTTAGTTCTAGAGAAACCATCATTAAGACTTAAAAGTGCACATTTGAGGTAATTTAGGTTAAATTTCCTGTCATTTTAACACTAATCAGATCAAAACTCTGTTGTTTCCTCACAGATTGTTCCTTATTTTGGTCTTCTGTTCACCTGCTGCGAGATGTGCAAGCAGATGTGCCTCTACCGTAACGGCTACATCGTCTCACCTCTGAGCTACCAGCCCACGCCGGGGGTCGACCAGAGCCTCGGGCCGTACGAGCTGGAGGAGGTCAGGCGCTACTTGAAAAACAGAAACTTTGGATCAAGGGAGTCGTCTTTTGGGAACCGCTGGTGAAGCTGGAAATGCATCCTGCTGACAGAAAAATGGAGGAAAAATCAAAAACATTCATGAGACCCTCCAAGAGACTGAAACTAGGACTATTTCAAGGTTATATAATTTTTATCTGACAGTATTAAGCATAAATTGTGAGGAATTTGTGACTCCATTATGTAAAAACCTGTGCCTTTGGTGTTGAATATTTATTTTGGCCCCTGTTGCAGTTTTGGCTGCATTAACTTCACATTGTGCCACAGTCTGTTCTGAGGATCACAGACTTTAACTGTGATGAGTGAATCTGAGCGTTATGATTGTAAAGAATCATCGAATGCAACTTTTTCATCCTTCAACAGAAGCAGGCGTTTAAGTGCTGAGACAAATTGTTATTGAAGGAATCAAACATTAAAAATGTTTTATTTTAACAAAATCTAAGTGTTTATTTTTTTATGCGCACTCCAAAAAGATAGAACTGCATCCAAAAGCTGACTTTTTTTAAAAGCAAAAAATGAGTTTAATGTCTTAACAGTTGCATTATGTTTAAGCAAACTCTTTAAATCCTCCTACAATTTCAATGTATGACACAAAGCAATGTTTTATTCCATTATTTTAGCAATGGTCGACCTTCCAAATCCACATTTTATTTCAACATTTTATTACTAAACATGATTCTTTACGAGAAACTGCTACATAAAGATAACTGTGTCCATCTACTCCAAATGTATTTTCGTAATAAAAACTTTGTACATTAAACTATTTATGGTAGAGTCCAGTATGTTCTGTTTGCAGTTTGTCCTCCACCTTGTAGTATTTTAGGGCAACATAACGTACTACATCCTATAATATGGCAAGCCGTCATAACATATATTCATTTTGCAAGCCTGCTAGTTAGTTGTTTGGATATCACTAGTATTTAACCTCATTAAGATCATATTTTATATGATTTTTTTTCAAGAAGGGCTCTAAGTCTGCTTTAAAGTGACTAGAATGCATAATAAATGTATATTTTTAAGTTTTATTTAGAGTTGTAACAAAAAATTAATTTATTCACAATCAAGCCAACATGATTGTCACACACACCTGAAATTTTTGTTCAAGTTTCAAAAATTTCATTTTGAAAGAAAATGATTTTGAAAAATGTCTCTTTTGCATAATTTTGTTGTGTTCCAATTATGCGGTTTATATTGATTATTTTCATTTTGGTATTTAACATACCAAAATTTCCACATATTTAAGTCCATCTGATGATGCATTTTTTAAATATTAAATTGTTGGTGTGTTGAGAAATTGAATAGCTTTTTCACCCAATACTTTTTTTACAACAGTAATTTCATGGATGGCTAGTTTTTACTTTTGAGTTAAAATATGTTGAAGTCGTGCTACTCTCACTCTACCTGACGAAAGAAGGAAATATGAATAGGAAATGTTAAAGTATTTGATAAAATGACCTGCCTTAACAGCTGTGACAGGTTTTACGTGGACTCAGTCAGCTGATTGACTCATGTCCTTCCCAGTGTGGGAAACAGGGTGACAGCCAAAGGACATCAACAGATGGGGTGACCTTTACCCACCATAGTTTTCAGGCCCTGGCTGCTTCAGACTGACAGGTGATGCGACCTTTAACTTCCATAAGAGAAAAGAAAACAAATAACAACAAGAAGAAAGTTAAAGAAACTATCCACAACTTTTTTGGGAAACTGATAAACTCCCTCTTCTTGTGGGACGAAAATATGTCCTTTTATTCCCTGCGTGACAATGGAAACCAGCCAATCCAACTGACAGAACGCCCTCTGGCCCCGCCCACCGCACTCACAACCGACCAATAGCAAGCGAGAATCGAAGTTCACGCTTTCCTATGCGTTCAGCCTCCTTAAAACCCCGTCAAGTCCGGGTTTGATTCTGCCATTTCAACTCCACCTGCAAACCCCACGGAGCGAGCAGCGGGACGGCGTCCGGAAACACCCGAAGATGAGTGACACGGCTATCTCCTTCGCTAAGGACTTCCTCGCCGGAGGCATCGCTGCTGCCATATCCAAAACAGCCGTGGCCCCCATCGAGAGAGTGAAACTTCTCCTCCAGGTCGGTGTTACTCATCTCCATGCAGAGACGCCTCAGCTGTTGATGCGGCATCGTTAAAACAGCTGACTCTTAGACCCTGACCCGACGCAGTGATCAGTGCTGGTAACGATTTGTGTTTAAAGCATGGATGCTGCAGCGTCAGCAGCAGAACGTAGGCTGTTGATAGTAAAGCTCAGCAGCTCTGTCTCAGTTTAAGAATGAGCATATTCGAGGCAAACCAGACCAGTTATGTAATAGTCAGGCCTGAAAGCTGCAGCACTCCACGGGAGGAAACACATTGTCCCTTAACAGGCTCATATGGTCACCTGCTGCTGCGTTTGAAAAAACATTTATTCTTCTGTGAAGTTTGATAGTTTGGCTTAAAAACTTACAAACGAGGTCATAGGAAAAATTGCACCATGGGTTTTCACTGCTGCATGGGGGCCTGGATGCGGCAGGAGGGGGCGGGGTTATGAATCCCTGAATGGATGCGTAAAGAGTTGATACAGCATGCATGCAATAACAGATTAGTGTAAAATAATAATGTCACTTCCTGTTTCCCTATAGGTGCAACATGCCAGCAAACAGATCACAGCCGACAAGCAGTACAAAGGCATCGTGGACTGCATTGTCCGCATCCCAAAGAGCAGGGCTTCCTTTCCTTCTGGAGAGGCAACTTGGCCAATGTCATCAGATACTTTCCCACACAAGCCCTCAACTTTGCTTTCAAGGACAAGTACAAGAAGATTTTCCTGGACGGCGTAGACAAGCGCACGCAGTTTCTGGAGATACTTTGCAGGGTAACCTGGCGTGGGCGGCGCAGCAGGGGCTACGTCGCTCTGTTTTGTCTACCCACTCGACTTCGCCAGGACGCGTCTCGCCGCTGATGTGGGCAAAGCGGGGCAGGAACGTGAGTTTAAGGGCCTGGGTGACTGCTTGGCGAAGATCTTCAAGTCTGATGGCCTCAAAGGTCTGTACCAGGGCTTCAACGTCTCAGTGCAGGGCATCATCATCTACAGAGCAGCGTACTTTGGCATCTACGACACAGCAAAGGGTGAGTCTACAAACTTCCTCCCCCCATTGAGCTCCTGAACTTTTAGGGAACTCGATTAACCTTTTGAACTGATGCATCTCTTTCAGGCATGCTCCCAGATCCTAAGAACACACACATTGTTGTGAGCTGGATGATCGCTCAGTCTGTAACCGCCGTTGCCGGTCTCACGTCCTACCCCTTCGATACCGTCCGTCGTCGTATGATGATGCAGTCTGGACGCAAAGGAGGTAATAACTCCAACTTGATGCCTTCGTAGCTTAAAATCTCTGTTTGTGATCATGATTGAGACATTTTTCTATCTTCTCTTCAGCTGATATTATGTACACCGGCACCCTGGACTGCTGGAGGAAGATAGCACGTGATGAAGGCAGCAAGGCCTTCTTCAAAGGAGCCTGGTCCAATGTGCTCAGAGGAATGGGCGGAGCCTTCGTGCTTGTCTTGTACGACGAGCTTAAGAAAGTCATCTAAGTTGATTGTGTCTCTCCACTGTTCATGTTGTTAAATGTATCTGTAACATATCTTGTACATTTGGAAGGACTTAAATACCTGAGCTATATATGTTTATAGGGGACCAACTAGTATTTTTTTACTAGTTGTACCGGGGAAAATCTGTTATGCACTTGTTTTTGTTTTTTTTTTTTTGTTTTGTTTTTTTTTTTCTTTGGCCCATTCTTTTCCTTTTTTTTTTTTTTTTTTTTTGCCCCTCACGAGAATTTCATTCCCTGACTGCAAGAACTTTGCCAGGATATGAGAAATAAAGGCAACCTACTGCGTGAACCGCTTACCTGGTTTTTACCTCAAATGTCATGCATGAATGGTTTCCAGGCTGGCAGCCCCTTGAGAGAGCTGTAAGCTTAGAGCTGCAGGTTGTGGTTGGAGGTGAGCCAAAATCAGCTGAGAAAGTTGAGCTGCTGACAATATTTCAAGTCACACTTGCAGAAAGGTGATAGGCAGGTAGTCTAGGAGTCAGACGTTTGAACTTGCTGCAGAGGAACTACTAGGATTACATGCAGGAGGGTTTGGATTATGACAACTTGCTAAATATACTTTGATCTCTTGACGTGCTCTTTCTGCCTTGGACTGTTGTGACAGAGGTCTTTGTGTCCTTGAGCTGATTGACAATTTACAAATATGACACACAAGTTATTTACTGTCGCTGCCAAGATATCTGGTGTCTTTAGATCTTAGCGCGACGCTAAACAAGCCTCTTTAAGTTTTGGATCTGGAGCTCATACACTGGATTCCTTCTGACACATGATCTGTCAGCATAAAGGGTTGCAGGCTTTGACCTGGTAGTGCCATGTGCAGGAGAGGACGCAATGTACCGCTTGGGCTCTAACCAGGGTGTGTGCTCGTCCTCCTGTTGGTAGTATTTGCCCTTGTATAGTTGGTGTAAATATGGGAGAGTTTAACAGGGTTTAAATCAACTCAGTGATTTGGTGTTGATTCATTGAGTCATTTTGAGATGAATAATTAAGTTCCAGTTATTAAAACTTGGATAAATTTCAGTTGCCCAGATTTCAGTCATGCTTCTGCATTTAAGGTCTTTTCCTCGAGTTATATTTAGATCTTGAATGATTGAGTTTAATTATGACTCTAAATGTGTCCTTTTCTCATCCTTTAACTTTGTGAATGGTTCTCTAACCACACCAGTTAAGGAAATTAAAACTGACAAGACATGAGGAGACAGACTCCTTAAGAAAATTGTCAAATTTTCTCAGCTGGATTCTAGACTAATCTACTCTGCAGTAGTATGAACTTGACCTCTAACCCAGTGAAGCAGATCCTTGTTCAACGGGGATTAATGCTTTTTATATCTTTGAGAAACACACCGACCTCATGCTGCTTGTGTTGACTGCAGGATATTTACTTACCATGTAAGAATTTAATGTATTTTTTGACCAAATTTAGAAAACAGTTTCATTTATCTTTTAAAACATTTACATAACATAATCTTGAGACAAATCTCAACATTTTTATTTATTTTTGCAGTTAAAATATCTGAAACAACATATTTACATACATTGTAGAAAGACTTTTTTCACTATCCTATGTTTTAACCAGAATAAGCTGCTCCTGCTTTAGCCCAGTTATTTCTATTCTCTAAATAGAAATAACTGAACAATGAAACAATGAAAATTTCCTGACTTTTTTTCAAATTCAGAAATTTCTTGGAAATCCCAGATGATTACGTCAATATCTTGTAAGCAGCTAATTTCGCCACATGCAAGTTAAATTAAAATGTTTCACACTTAAAAAAACCCCAAAAAAACACTTGGTGTGTGGTTTTGGTCTTAATTTTTATTTTAACAGATTCTAAAACAATGTAAAAAAAAAAATAATCCAAATGATCATGCAACTCCCAGGAGCTGAAGGAAACTAAGATGGCTAGAGGGAAACCGGAGGGAACGAGGGTGGATGGAGGAAACCAGGACTGATTCAGACGTAGTTCAGCTGTTCATCTGGTTCTGGAACCCAGATGCAAAACAAAACAGAAGCAACTGATGAAACTCTCCTTTTACTCCAACACAAATCAAAAGGAGAAAACATCAATAGCTGAGTAACTTAAAGGGTATTTAAACCCAGAGGTAAGCCTGTCACAATAAAAAAATAAAACAATTTATCACATGAAATTAAAACGACTTCAATAATTTCAATTTGCATGATTTATCGTTTCTCTTTCTACCAAAACTTGATAAGTCTGGTGCTTTGGTCTCAACAAGCCCCATACTTTGAAGGACAACTTTGTTTACAGAGACTCAATTCATTTTATTTTTTATTTCAGTTTTATTTTGTATTTTCAAAATGTCTTCCAGTTCCAGTATTAAAATATTCATTAGAATTTAAAGACTGTTATCTTTGAGAATATGTTCTTGCGTTACTATGCTATTGCCATTACGTCTGTTGAATATTAAAACAATCTTGTCGCAATAACTTCTGTGACAATTTATGTTGACTGTCACCACATTTGGCTGGATAATAAATTGTCCCAGAAGGTATTGAAATAAATAATAATGTTTTAATACCATTTTCAACTAATATAATGGCTAAAGCATAATGCATTAACATTCTCAAACTTTATATTCAAAGAACATTTAACACTGGAACTCAAAGACATTTAAAATATTCAAAATAAACAAAAATTAAATAAATAAATGGAATTATAAAGTCTGGTCTCAAGCCTTTTTTTGAAGAACAATTTTATTTACAAAGCAGCAGACTGAAGACTTTATTCATCCTCTCCTCAAATTTAAATTGAGGACAGGAAGGGAACAAAAGAAAGACGGGCAGGTTTCAGGTCAAACCCTGACCAATTCAGAATGAAACCACTTTTCAAAGAAACATAAATATCACTTAAATAGCAGTGAAATCCCTGCAGCTTTTCAAAGGAAGATTGCTAATAAAGCTTCAAGTAAAAATGGAAAACAATCAGAAAGTATCACTTGGAAACACTTTAAAACACTGGGGGAAATCTTGACTTCTCTCTATAGTTCTAGTTCTAAGTGGGAACACCATCTGTTTTTCTATCTCTAAGAAATACTCTTTACATATCTAAGCAGTCTGGGCTGCTCTTGGTCCGGTCCCTCACCTAAGACCCGGTTCCCCCAGCAGACCCGAACCAACTAGAGGCATGAAGTCGCTGGCAGCTCTGAGGATCACTGGGACACTCAAAGCCCTCCACCACGATAAGGTGGCAGCGCACGGAGGGGAAAAAACAAAGCCAGAACCAGTTCCATTCTCTGACCTGAACTGATCTGGGGAGAGGCCAGAAGGTGGCGCTCTAGTGTTTCTAACTAAACACAAAATTAAGTTAGAGACACAAACTTTTCTAACTAAAAACTTTAGTTAGAAACTAAAGATTTTGGTTTTTTTTAGTTATCTTTCTCTCCTAGAAGCTACACCTGGTCTGGTGTTCTGATTGGCTGTGGTTTCATCCTGCAGGAGGGCATTGGCTGACATGAGTTCATGAACGTGGAAAGTTCTCAGATCAGTCAACTTGTTGTTCCATCTCTCTGGTGTCGTCTCTCTGCTCCAGCCGGTCGTGGCAGATGGCTGCTGGTACTGAGCCCAGTTCTGGTTCTGCTGGAGGTTTCTTCCTGGTAGAGGGGAGTTCTTCTTCCCCACTGTCCCGCATACAGCTCTGTAAGAGTGACTGCTGTAAAGTCAACAACTCAACACAAGCGATTTGTTGTCGCCCCCTGTTGTTCAGGAGGAGTAAATGCTGTAACTGATAACTCCAAACAATCTACTGGGTTTCCTTTGGTGCAAAATTTTGAAACAAATTTAATAAACCAAACCTAATGCACTGACAACTTGGATCAATAGTAATCTATGACTGACTTGAAACTATTTTTTGTAAAATTCCTTGAGAACAACATTGTTGTGAACTAACAAGTTTTGAAAGTTTTTGCAATCTACTTTTACGGTTTTGAACGATTTTGCCGTCTACTTTTTGGTTTTGAACGATTTTGCTGTCTACGTTTTGGTTTTGACTGTTTTGATGTCTACTTTTGGGGTTTTGAACTTTTTGTATTAGTTGCTGGGATTTTTGTTTGGCGTTTTATTTTGTTGGTTGAGCTCATTTGTTAGTTTAAAAGGTAAATTTTTTACATCTCCAATTCACAACAAATGTCTCAATGCACTTTGAAATAATTTTAGTTCAATCACATGTTTTCCAATTGCTATTAGTTAACAGTACAATAAGCTCAGTTGATGAAATAGTTTAAAAAGTTTGTACCAAAGGAAACCCAGCAGAGTGCATGGAGTCACTGACTTACAGCATTTACTCCTCCTGGCCAGAAGGGACCGACAGCAAATGGCTTGTGTTGAGCCATCGACTTTACAGCAACCCCTCGTACAGAGCCTGCATGTAGTGACTGTGAAGAGGAAGAACTCCCCTCCAACAGGAAGAGACTTCCAGCAGATCCAGAACCGGGCTCAGTACCAGCAACCATCTGCCACTAACGACTGGAGCTGAGAGAAGACATAGCAGAGACACAACAGGTTAACTGATCAGGAACTTTCCATGTTCACGAACGCACGTCAGCCAATGCCCTCGTCCAGGAAGAAACCACAGCCAATCAGAACGCCATACCAGGTGCAAAATCTATGGACAGAAAAATAAAGAAAACAAAAATAGTTGAAACAACTAAGGTAGTAGAAACAGAAAATGACAAACAGTAGCATAAATACATACAGATCACAATAAAGCAGTCTAAGAAAAACAACATAAAATTATAAAGTCTCTAAAAAAAATTGTCCATAAAAAATGCAATGTCTAATTGGAGCCAAAGAATCAAACTGAAGACTTATCCAGTGAAAACTGAGGTTGTTTTGATAAATGTTTCAAGTTCCGTCGTTTTCCTCTGTCGGACGATGAAGGGCAAAACCAGAGACAAAAATGAGATGATCCAGGATTCCTGAAGGACAACAGGACAGGTGCAGGTTTAAGGTCAAACCCTTTAATAACGCAGAATGAAATTGTCATTTTACAGAAACTCTAAATACCATTAGCAGCAAAATACCTGCAGCATTTCTTGAAGACTTGTGAGCCCCGATAGCAGGGACACTGATGTCATCCATGGATGATGGAGTCCATGGAGGTCTTTTCTGTCAGTCGTTGTCAGGAGCAGTCGGGGAGTGGGAGGGTCATCTAAAGGACTTGTCGGATTCTGTCATCACTGTGTTGCCATTTTTATAGTTACCTTCTTAGTAACCTTTATATGGCTAACATACACATATTTCAACAGAAAAAACCTAAGACTGGTTGGTTAGCTTTACCCGCCAGTCAGGTTTATTTTCACTCAAACCCAACCAAAGGGTGACCCAAACCCTTTACCCGTTGGTCAGGGTTGTTTTCACTTAAACCCAACTGAAGGGTGACCCAAACCCTTTACCCGTCGATCAGGTTCGTTTTCACTTAAACCCAACCGAAGGGTGATCCAAACCCTTTACCTGTCAGACTTGTAAAGATTGAGATTGTTAAAACCTTTGTTTGTTAAAACCAACCAAAGGGTATCCCTAACCCTCTGGTTCCCATCAGTCGGGTTCATTTTCACACAAACTCGACCGAAGAGAAACCCAAGCCATTTACTCTCCAGTCTGGCTTGCTTTCACACCTTTACTCTTTTGTACCCAAGATCAGAACTCCTACCTTTCAAATAGCCTGCCATGCATTTCTTACGTGAAGCATTGCACATGGACTGAATTGACCCCTTCGATGTCCTCGTTTGTTACCAATTTCCTTGATCTCATTCGATGACTTCATAACCTTGAGGAGTGGCTGCCATCGGATTCACACTCCAGTGCATCTTGATTATCCACAGTCCCTGGCCGTCTGAGGCCATCTGGTGTCTTTAGATTCTCCATCTTGACAAAAACTGTTGTTTGGCTTTCATATCTTTCAATTCCATATTTCATGTGATGTCGACAAGGCCTTAACTTCTCAATCATGAACTCAAAACTATTATTCATCACCACAGACATACTAAGGATGCACATCGTAACAGTTTAGTAAAAAAAAGTTTTTTTGGAAAGAAAGACTTTCCAAAAAACTGAAAAAAAAAACCAGCAGCTTGATTGTAGTAAATCTATAATCGATCAACGGCTCGCTCCAGACGGCAAACAAACCACCGTGAGGCCATGGTCGTCTCTAGTTTGCTGCTCTGTTTAGACACAAAAATTGCTTCAATGATGTCATCGGGAAAAGAAACAAACAGCTTCCAATAAGGTTTCCCAAAACTAACTTACCGAAAAACGAACGCAGCGATTTCCAACATGGCGCCCCCGGGGCCTCCTCGCCATCTCTGCGCCCTCGTCCGACGTCAAGTACAAGGAGTCAAACTGGGCCGACACGATATCAGTTGGATCCGTTTTCAGTCGCTCGGCAGGGCGTCCACCCGGATCCCTCCTCCTGGCAGATCAGGAAATGTCATTTTAATTCCGGGTTCAATGTTCATGAAAATCAGACGCCAGTTTCTAGCGTCCGTACGGTCATATGCAAACCGCGTCTTTTTTGAAAAACATTTACGTCGAAGCTGCGTCATGTTTTTATCCACCATGGCGCATGCGCCGTACTCACTAATAGCAGAAATGGCGCCAAAATTTGGCACGGTTGCCAGATTTGACATTTTCCAGTAAAACCCGTCCAACTGTAATGAGTTTTATCAGCAACTTCTAATAAAACTCTGGTAAAAGCACGATATATTTCATCCTTAGTCTATGCCTAATATACTTTTTGACTAATTTAGATAAACATTTTTCTAAGAACAAACCAGTTTATCTCCAATACAAATTTAGAAAAAATCAGAGAAACAGCAACATTTTATATTTATTTTTTAGGACTTATTCTTTTGTTCACAAAATTTACATTTTTATAGGAATAATCCAATTAATCTCCTATACAGTTTCAGAATTTTTTTTTTTTTTTGAGAAACAGTGAACATGCATTTATTTATTTATTTATTTATTTATGGAACTATTTCACTGACATAGCTTCAGGGATAAACTTGCTTTTTCTTAGAAAAAGTTCTATTTTCAAAGCTTAATACTAATACTCCAGTATGTCCTGACTCTTATGGAGAGTGAAAAGTGACAAATGAATATTAGTAATTTATGTAAAAAATATTTAAAAGTGTCATTAATTTACTAAACGCTTCATCCTCCACATATTCTGGAGATTCTAGATCTTTAAATAATATAAGTATATTCATTAATTGCTTATTTAAAAAAGAACAATAAAGTTTTGTAAAATACATCTGTATTTAATTTAGATTAATTTATGCAAATATAAGTAAATAGATTTTAATGAAATGTTTGGCTTGGATTCATTTTAAATGTAAATCATGAACTTCTTGTCGTTTTTTTGTTTCTGAACAAACTGAACTTTACTTTTTGGTCAGAATCAAGACCTCTGCAGAGATTATTAGTGATCTCAACAGAGATAAAATCACCAGTCAGGTCCAGTTTTCTGTCAGAAAATCATATTTATTATCTTTCAAGCCCCTTACGAACATTTACTGAAAAGAAATTGTGAAATTACAAAATAAAAACAGTATCTTCTGCCACTTTTCAAATTTATTTGATGTGTATGGTCATTTATTTTGAAAATCAGCTTAAAATAACAGCAAAGCTGAACAAATGATGTGCAGTGATTGCATGCAACACTGCACATAAGCTTGTGTATTAACATGCAAGACATTAGTTCAGTGTGGCTACAGACTAAGAAGTGTCTGTCAGCTGGACTGTTACATAATGTCAGCTGTTAGCCTGAATTATGTCACAACCTCATGGCAACACAGTCCTTCCCTTACATGGAAGGGAACAAAATCACAGCAGTTTGTCAGTCCACTCAACAATGCAGAGCTGAGCAAGCAAAGAGCTTACTTTTTATACTTTGATGCAATTAAAAAGCACAATTGGTGTTATGATGTTGCCTAGTTTTTCATTTTGTAGATTATATTTCAAGCACATATTATTTTTCTTCCACCTAGACACGTATTTCACATCACAGAGTCCATGAACTGTCTGTATGTCACATATTTTCTACCTTATACTAAAATAATAACTATGGTTGGGTTTGATCCTCTTTTATGTTCTAAGAACAAGATTGTTCATGGCGCCCTCTTGAGGACATAAATAATCCCTGCACCCCTTTCAGTGCTTGTAACTGTCATGTAGCAGAAACATGTTTTCTGATTGATTGGTGGTGATATGTTCCATCAATTTTCTGCAGGTAAGTGTGTAAATTTAAATATCCAAAGCCAAATAACAAACTCATAAGTTATTTTAAAACTCAAATTCACATTTGACCCAGAAGAAGAGCTGTGAACGATAGTCATTCCCTTCGAGCTGTTCTTATTTATTTTGCACACAATATTGCTTTTTTTTAAATAAATTAAGGAACGCAAAAAAAAATCTCAATGAAGAGCCTCATTGGAGCCGAAAATGCCGAATCTTTTTATTGAGCCGAGCCAAAAGAGCCGGTTCTCTGGAAAGAGCTTGAATTCCCACGCTGCCGTGAGCTCCTCCCACTTCCCCAGTCCCACAATGACAAACCTCACCTGCACACGAGACGCCACCTGCAGGAATGAAAAGATCTTTTAAAATTCAAGACCAAATATTACTATCTTTCAATAAAGGTCCAACAAATTAATGAGTTTGCAAGTTAGCCTGTAGTTAGAAAACCTGTGCATTAAATAACGTTTTTCTGTTTTTCAACATATAGCGTTGTTTAATGCGCTGTTCTTGATTAAATCAATTTAAATTGAACTGAACTAAACCGCATTGTGTCACGCATGCGCAAAGCTGCTCCTGATCCTGAAAATATAAACTTTAAAATTTAGAAAATGTGGGACAGGAAACGTAGAAAGCATTTAAATTATTAAACAACGTTAATTTATTGTTCAGAGGATAATTAGAGCGTGTTTTTGTCGCTCTGTCATATAGAGTGGCTCAAAGCAACAGAAAAAAATATGCTAATTAGATGATGACGTCATGTCGGGGTTTCCAAGCGACTTTCAGTCAGCCAATAGGAATTTTCCTTCCCGAGGCGTTGGCAGAGGTGTTAGTTCACCTCCAACTGGAAACCTGAAGGAAACACATGAAGATGGTGAATGAATATTTGTCCTTTGCCAAGAACTTCGTGGCCGGCGGCATCGCCGCTGCCATCACGGAAACAGCTGTGGCCCCCATCGAGAGAGTGAAACTTCTCCTCCAGGTAGGCGTTGTGCGTTGTTATCACCTGACGCGGTGCAGGATTAAAAAAAAAAAGTGCTGCATTGACGCTTCTGCACTTGATGCTTCCTGATCAATGAATCTCCCGGTCTACTGTGCCATCAAGTGGGCAATAAATGTAAAACTGAAACAAATAAATGATTCTGATGCTAAAACATAAATTCTAAATATATTTTTCATAAAATGGCTTCAGAATGAAAATTGCAGAGTTTGTGATGTAAATATGTTTGTGCTACACTATAACTGTGCTTGTGTTATTAGGAACAACATGTTACTTTTATTTAAAATCAGTAACCTTTCTGTTCCTTTCTGCTGTGCTGGACTTCATTTCTTTTCTGAGGTATTGATTGTTTCAGGCAGATAAAGTGGAGTACAGTGAGAAAAGTCTATACTTCCTAATGGAAGAAACTGGTGTTCAGTTAAACATATAAATAATTACAAAAGAAATACAGTTAGTTACCAGGTAATAAGATAGGAACATGTATGTGTAAAACGTGATTTGTAAACTGTAAAAAATGTATTTTGTGCAAATGTTCAATGATGAACCAAAAAATTTACAGACGCACAATTAAAAATTATAAACAAAATGTGTTAATTACGTGTGCACAACTCACCAGGTACATTTGGATATTCATTTACACACAGATCAGTTTACAATTGCACGGTGTTCATTTCACGCTTCCGAGAAGATGGTGCGTTTAAATGCTGCTGGAAAGTTGAGTATTTTATTTCTTCTTTGGGGTCTAGCGTTATATTTTAACCTCTACTTTTACCAAAATTGTTAACATGTTTATTTTTGTGGAAAAATAGAGTAGCTCAACACCACATGGGCCGCCAGTACCGTCTTCTTGTCTCTCGGATATATGGTTATATGCAATTTTAAAGTATTTAAATGCAAATTTAGGTCTATGTGGTTTAAAACGGGGAGATTCTCTTTTTTTTTACATAGAAAAAAGTCTTAGCCACTTTGGCGCAAGTATAGAAGAAAATAACCTCTCCGGGGAAAGTTCAAATGACCTGCTTTCCAACAGCATTTAAACGCACCATGTCTCCCTGTTTAAAGCGTGAATTGAGTCCCTCTCACCATTTATGGAGCTGAAACTGATATGTGCGTAAATTCTGTCTTGTCTGTGTGTACCTGACTTTTTGTGTGAAATTTGTTACACGAAGTATTTTAATGTTCGTTGCAAATTGCAATTATGAGTAAAATGTATTTTGTAATAAAATCTTGAAATATTTGAGTGCATTTGAACACACAACAGTAGTTTACATGTTATCATGTTTGACAGATACGAATACCTAAAGCAGTTTACAAATCAAGTGTTGCGTATGCAGAACCAATTTAATCCCTTAATTTGGTTCTGCACATGCATTCAAATATGGGGGATAAAGCAGAATAATGTAAGACGTGAACGACATTTTCTGCTTTACAGATACAACATGCCAGCAAACAGATCACAGCCGACAAGCAGTACAAAGGCATCGTGGACTGCATTGTCCGCATCCCCAAAGAGCAGGGCTTCCTTTCCTTCTGGAGAGGCAACTTGGCCAATGTCATCAGATACTTTCCCACACAAGCCCTCAACTTTGCTTTCAAGGACAAGTACAAGAAGATTTTCCTGGACGGCGTAGACAAGCGCACGCAGTTCTGGAGATACTTTGCAGGTAACCTGGCGTCGGGCGGCGCAGCAGGGGCTACGTCGCTCTGTTTTGTCTACCCACTCGACTTCGCCAGGACGCGTCTCGCCGCTGATGTGGGCAAAGCGGGGCAGGAACGTGAGTTTAAGGGCCTGGGTGACTTGGCGAAGATCTTCAAGTCTGATGGCCTCAAAGGTCTGTACCAGGGCTTCAACGTCTCAGTGCAGGGCATCATCATCTACAGAGCAGCGTACTTTGGCATCTACGACACAGCAAAGGGTGAGTCTACAAACTTTCAACCAATCAACCAGTTATCCAACTAACTAACCACCCAATGGGCTCTTGAACTTAAGTGAAAGAGGTTAACCTTTTGAACTGATGCATCTCTTTCAGGCATGCTCCCAGATCCTGAGAACACACACGTTGTTGTGAACTTTATGATTGCTCAGACCACAGCCATCGCTTCTTTTGTGTCCTACCCCTTCGATACCGTCCGTCGTCGCATGATGATGCAGTCTGGACGCAAAGGAGGTAATAACTCCAACTTGATGCCTTTCTGGCTTAAAATCTCTGTTTATGATCATGATCGAGACATTTTTCATCTTCTCTTCAGCTGATATTATGTACACTGGCACCCTGGACTGCTGGAGGAAGATCGCACGTGATGAAGGCAGCAAGGCCTTCTTCAAAGGAGCCTGGTCCAATGTGCTCAGAGGCTTTGGCAGTGCGATGGTGCTTGTCTTGTATGATGAGATTAAGAAAGTCATCTGAGTTGATTTCCGTCTCTTCAATGTTCATGGGCAACACGGAAGGACTTAAATACCTGAGCTAGATATGTTTGTAGGAGACCATGTCGCCAACAATCCAACCAACCACCGAGGATCAACTTGAGCAAATTTCTCTGTATGTTTAATTTTGTAAAGTGTCTTGACTTATTATGTATTGTGAACTGGTGCTATATAAAATCAACTGAACTGTTATGCACTTGATTATTAGCCCATCTTCTTCTCATTGCCTGACTACAAGAACTTTGCCAGAAAAATATATCTGAAGTCAACCAACCCGGTTTTGAATTGTAATAAATGGTTTCCAGGCCAGCATGCTTTGATAGCCTGTAGCTGCAGGTTGTGGTTGGGGGTGAGCCAAAATCTGCTGAGAAAGTTGATCTGCTGGCGTTTTTTCAAGGTGCACTTGCACCGGTCAGTATAAATATGGGAGAGTAATAAAACTGGTTTTTTATTCCCTTTTTAAACTACTCACAATGACTTGTTATGTATTTGAAGATGAAAAATTAAGAAGTTCCAGTTATTAAAATAGGAAAAATCTCAGTGCAGTTAAGGTCTTTGTTTCCTCCAGGCTTTCACAATAATTAGATCATTTAATCATTATGAGCTTAATTAAAGGTTTAATTCGGACATCCTGTGCAGAGGTTTTTATTCTTCAACTCTGTAAATCACACTTTAGCCACATAAATTAAGGAAATTAAACTTGGCAAGGCTGTGATCTTGAAGGAGACAGACTCCTCTAACCAAACACTCCCAGATTACATGATTTTCTCAGCTGGACCCTGGCTAATCGCCGCTACAGTGACTCGAACTTGACCTTGGGAAACTAGTGAAACCAGTGATTCATTGCTGATTATTGAAAGTGTTTCAACTTTTAACATTCATTTGGGAGTAAAGGACAAAAACAGACTGTCCAGAATCGTCAGCAGGGCCAATAAGATAATCAATGAAGAGCAAAGAATGCTGGGAGATTTGTAGCAGCCAAGAATATTTGAAAGAAATTATTAATACCTAATGCAATAATGTTGATTAACTATTGAACATTACTCATGTTTTGTCCATTGTGTAATTTTTTTAACATTCTTTAGTTTTACCATGTGAATCTGAAAGCAGATTTCAACATATGTGGAAAATAAAGATTATTATGGAACCAGGTTGGGTTGAAATTGCATTTTACATTTGCTGTGAGCATTTGAAATGTAATTTGAAGAATAAAAATAAAAAACAAAGGTTATTGCTTAGTGTAGTAGCCTTTTGTTCCCTAAATAAATAAAAAATAACTTATAAAAAAATAATTGATAAAAATATCTACATTTGTATTAACTTCCATTTGGGATCAATAAAGTAGTTTAGAATTTGTAATTACATTTTGTATTTATTCTGGGCATTTAATATTTAATCTGAAACATTAAAAAAATAAAGACAGTTAAGGAAATTAAACTTTTTTGAGTTTAAAAGACCTTCTCCCCTAAATAAATAAATAATATTAAATACTACTACTACTACTACTACTACTACTACTACTAGTACTACTAATACTAATAATAATAATAATAATAATAATAATAATAATAATAATAATAATAATAATAAATAATAATAACAGTTTTATATTCTTTCCCTTTGGGAGTGATAAAGTAATTTTTTTGCATTGCATGTTTACTGGACATTTCATATACAATCTGAAACATAAAAAAAAGATAATTTTGAGATACATTTTGGTGCAATAAATTACTTATTTATCAGCAACTTGTCGCTGTAATGTAACAGTGCGTCCACTAGATGTCGCGCTTTCACCGTTGACGCTCGACACGCAGCCAATCACAGCTCGGCTTTAACCAGCTATAGAAAGTTTCTTTTTCCGCTGTCTGACTGCGATCGCGAAGCCAAACAGCCTGTTTTTGTTTCCTCCTCCTTCGTCTCTGCAGAGCTTTAAAAGATGATAGTAAACAAACTCGCTGCTCCTTCATCCAACTCTTATCGACTGAAAGTCAGCCTCGCCGGCGGAAGGAGCCTGCTGTGAGGGAACAAGAAGATGTATCTGTGGCGTCTTTCCATCGCCGTGAGCCTCGGCCTGGTTTGGTATTTTTCAGAATGCGGTCGCACAGTCATACAGTATGCTATATGTTTCCTCCTCTGCGTTTCAACGCCGCTGCTGTTTGGAAACAGTTGGCGAGAGAGCAGCACCCAAACTGATGCAGAACCCCGAGAACATCCGCCCGAGGTCGGCACGTTTTTTTTTTTTTTTTTTTTTTTTTTGTCATTGAAAAGCTTCTTCCATCCACATTACAGTGAACAACTTGTTGATATGAGGCTGAATTGAGCTTGTAAATCACAAAATAGTTGAAACAGAAAATCAGTCCCCACAGGTGAAACGCGCCAATGAGTCAATTAAAGGAAGTTTCTGAATTCACTTGAGGCTCGCCAACAGGTTCTACAATCTTAGAAATTCCGGTTTCTCAACTTCCTGATCTCTGTTGTGTTTCCAGGAATTTGTCGCGGAGGAGCCGCTTGAACAGACTGATGTGAAGAACCTTGAGCAGAACATCCCGCTGACTTCTCAGTGTCCGCATGTGAAGAAGTCCCTTCAGCAAGGTGAAGCAGAGAAAACTGTGCTCTCAGCAGTTTCAGTGAGGATTAAAGCAGATTTTTGAAGTTTGATTTCAGCCCTCTTTGCCATCAGCTCTGTTTTGACTTGACACAGCCAGGTAGATCGTGTTACATGCAGTGAGTGGGGGTTGGAAGCAGGAAGAGGATAAAAACTACTTCCTCAGCAGAAACCATGGCAGTGATGGATCATACAGGAAATAAACTGCATGTTCTCATGCATGAATATCAGCTGTGTTTGTGTTGCACCATTTTCTCTTCCACAATAATCAAATTGGCTCTTAAAGAGTAAAATATTGACTTTATAGCTGCAACCCGACTCTTAAAGTCAACAATCTGCAAAATAAACATTTATAACTTCATTATTTAAACTAGAACTTCAGTATTCACATTTTTTAAGTTCACAAACTGTTTACTACACCAAGAATTGGTGAATTTATTTGCATGGCGTCCATCAAAAACATGTAATTTAGGCTCTGAAGTTTTGACATCCTTTTACTTATTTCCAGCTCTTCAGAGTTGACAGACTCAGGGGTCAGAGGTGAAACTAGACTCTGCTGGACTACTACTACTACTTTGTGTACATTTCCTGTTCAGAAGTCTCTGTTGTTTGAATCTGGTATTAAAATTCACCCTGGTGATAAAGATCTAAGTCAGTCGCTGTTCATTCAAATTAACACGTGGAAACGTCACACGGCCAGCAAGCGACTGATAAATTCAGTCTGTTTTTAACATAGTTCAGATTCACTGCAGCTGCATTTTAAGCTGCTAAACATTTAATGAGTTATTTTACCTGTCAGGTTCAAACTGGGCGACTTTGAGGAGAAGAAAATGATTTACAGCTCAAATCAAACTGTAAGGAAGACAAACTGACAGTTTTATTCCTGAGTACTTTCCTTTTGCTTTTCTGTAGCTCAGCCATTAATTTCTAATGTCTTGTTGTTTATCAGATTTTATCATCAATGTGCATCATGAAAGCACTTATGATACGTAATTACTGCATTATCCGTCATTAACGGGAAAAGAAAACAAGATCAAATCGTCCTTTCATTGTAAAGATGAACTCCAATTGAAGTTTGCAAACAGCCCGACCTGATCATATGATTTCAGCCATTTTTGTTGTTCCATATATTTTTCAATGAGATCAGGGCCGGCCCCAGCTTTTTTGGGGCCCCAAACTCGTTTTAATTCTAACATATCAACACAACACACGTCATCATTCCTACATTATGCTTGTAAAATACCTAAAATTATTAGTGTAATTGGTAATCAGCTTACATCATAGCAGCGTTACAATGGATACCATTGATTTTTACCTTACAGTAGCAAACAAGCTTTAAATAATTAGCACTTTAAAATGCAGAGTAATATGTAATTCATTTATTAATTCATGTATTTAAAATCAACATGTGAAGACAGACAATCAATTTACAGTAAACAAATTAACACATTTAATCTTTACTTTGACAAATTTGGAGTAGATCTGTGGAATGTGCAAACTGTGCAACACATCACTACAGAATAAAATCAAATTATGCTCTTGGGGGCCCCCTGGTGGTTTCTAAACAGTTAATAAGATCGCATACGCTTTGGGCCGGCTGGGTATGGGACAATCACTAAACGTGCACTGCAAAAATTCAAAATTAGTACTATAAACGTTTTTTTTTTTAAATGTGATTTTAAAAATCACATTTTTTGTAAAAGTTGCATACTGTAGCTTTAGGAATGTGTACTAAATATCTTAGTACACTTGAAATAAGATAAAACTAACTGAAAATGAGCTTTTTATCAATATATAGCAGCTCGTTTTCAGTAAATAATTAATCAATATTGACAAAAAAGTTAATATTACGATCAAAATAATCTGCCAGTCAACTAATACATTCTCATCAATATTATGTACTTTTGACTTAAAACCTGCAAGTTAATTCTGTCTTGTTTCAAGATACTAAAATAGTTTAACTAGAAGGTGGACCAAAAATACTTGGTAAAGTTTGTTTTTGCAGTGTGGAGTTTACTTGGCAGCACAGCTAAATTTACGAATAAATAGTTTTAAAGTGAAATAGTTTCAACTTAGAAGAATGTTTATTTATACAGTGACATATTTACTGCTTATAACACAACTATTGAATTTTTAAATGCCTCTTGTCACTTTTAGTACCTCAGAATAGTTTATATAGAAAGTAAAACGTTGAATCCTGAACTCACAGTCAGTAATATTAAATCCTGTTATTGCATCCAGTTTTACGGTTAACAAGTAAAATCATAAATGCAGGCAGTTAGGATTGCACAAATTTATCTTTACAGTAACATTACCCTACACAACGAGCATTTTCTGAAGAACTGCTTTGGTTGCAATAAGTGTCTTTTTATTACACTGCAAAACATTCAGGCTCTTATCCTTACAGTTTATTTGATGAG